CCCCCCCCCCCCCATACAAAATGTATGTATTCGCTACTGCTGCTGCGTGTCACTTTCTTGTTTGCATTTTATCGAGTGCACGCTTACTGTTAACACACGTTATCGTCACGACGCCCGTGATGGTAGGTTTTGATTTGTTTTCTATGCATCTTCTACTCGAAATGGACAATATATTACGTAATAACAGGTCAGCATTATCGACATGATTATATCAATGGAACACCGCACACGCGTTGGGCATGCAAGTAAAAAGCAATAATACATGTTTATGTGTGAATGGTACATCGTTAGCCCATATTATTATATACCTATAAACGTACATGTACAGATTGTACACATGCGACTTGACGAGAGCAATAAAAAAAATCTGAGAAAACAAGTCTTTCGGGGGCACTGCAGTATTCAACTCGGCTAGCGCATGTTGTTAATTTCCATAAGAAAACGAGACGTGTGATTCACGATTTGTAAACGTTCGCGTAGATCGAGTAAACCTGCTCGTATACACGATAAACACTTTTATTTAATGTACTTTTTTCTCTCTCTCCCACTTTTTTTTTCTCTTTTCTGCCATCCGTTACGTCAATCAATCCCGTTTAACGATGTAGTTATATGTATACACACACACACTTGTATACATTTGTGTGTGGGTGATCCCGGTGAAAACGACCCTCGCGGCCTATCTCACGTGTGCGCATCATGGTTTCGAGTTTCGATGGGTCGATGGCTCATTTAGGTTTTTTTTTCAAACAGTAAGGATACAATTTTATCGAATAAGTAATTCAAATAGAAATGAAATGATTGCGGCTATCGTTCAATTTATGTAACACATGCACAGTTGTATAATACACATGTAATATTAACTGAATTCCAGAGAGGGAGTCTTAATACCCTCGATGATCCCGATCATCCTATGTATGCTAATATTTCGGAGATTTTGAATACGACACTAGAGTTTATGTTGATTAAATAATACGTTTTTATTTTCTACACATTTTGGGATAGTCTTATACAATACCACGTTTATATAGACGTGCAATTTAATACATACTATTTAAAAGGTTATTTTTTAATTTTTAATTTTTTCAAGAATATTATGACAATTACAAAATTAACAACAAATAAATGATACACATCAAACTTACAAGTTTTCCTAACATTTTGTAAAATGTTTGGTGAATTAAAATTTAGCTTAAATGGATTTTTTGAAATTTGAAAGTTGTTGGTTCCAAATTAATACAATTATGATATGCTTGACTCCAGCAGCTAGTGTATTGAAGATATAGTCAACTCGCAGTATAACGAAGTTCGATATAACGAATAAAATTGTCGTTCCGTTGATAATTTCGTGATAGAACGAACAATTAAATGTATTTTTGTCCACTCTATAAACGAAGTTTTTTTTTTGGTCAAAGCTCTCTCAATGTAATGAATTTTTACAATTTTGGAGCTTGATATTACGAGTTTTACGAGTTTTTTTGGCTCCACCCCTCACAAAAAAAATAAAAAATAAAAAAAATATTTGAAAACGTCAAATTTTCAACACATCAGTAATATAATAATTTATTCAATAAAGTATTAAGGTATAATGAAAAAATATTAATATCGCTAGTAATTAAATTGTAATCGGATAATAATAATAACAATCGACCCAATCGACCGCATGGCACTCACACACACATGGTATATAAATAATCTGATGTGGGGAAATTATCGGTCGATAAGAATATCTTAGTCCGTGACTGTCACGTCTTGTCAGTATGAACTATGCATCTATGCGTGACATAAAGTAATATAAAATACGATTAATACGATCCTACGTTTAATTTAGTTATTAATTATTATTATTATTATTTAGTATTTAAACAATAATTTGATAAAGAACATTTTATACTAATTTATAAAATTATTTCACTATTAAGTATGATACCCCTCCCAAAATAAGTTTCTAAATACGCCACAATGCAATAAGATTATGTTCATCTTGTAATTTATAATATACACAATGTTGATCACTTGATATTAATGATAATCACATTATAAAATAGTGACTATATGTGACCATCACTCCTAACCCCAATTCGGTCGAATATTGGGGTATGGTCGAATTGCACTTGGGTTCAAAAAAAGTAATGGTTAAACTGCACTTGGGCTCAAAAAAGTATTTCAATCAAATTATCATGCATTTGAAGGGGTTGGATTTATTTTATTTAGTTACAAATTACCATTTAGTAATCATTAGCGTGGTTAAAAATTATTGTTTTATGCATCATATTATTATATGTTTATTATATATGTTACGGTCAAAGTGTATAATCGGGCGTTGTAGTACAATGCCCGGGCAATGTATACTATGCCCAATTTCAATGGACAATGTGGACAATTATACACTTTGCCCGGGCATTGTACAGAATGACCAGAGCACAGTGGGCAATCATAATTAATTAATTAAAAATGTTTAAAACAATTTTTGTTATCTTAATACTTTATTTTATGAGTATGTTAACAAATTTTTTTATTTATTTTTACAACTTAAGCTATCATGGCATTTAGAAGTACATAGTTTACTTGCAGCCCTACACTTACATTTATTTGTCTTGCATTGCTATTTACAGTTACACCGGTCATATCCTTGACCGCCAAGATTTGAAAATTTTCTAGCTGCTCTTCTTAGTATTATCGGAGATGTTACTGGTACTGCTTCAATCTGGACAAACGACTTTTTGCATATTTCAAATTGGTTTCTAGCGTAAAGTTGTTGAAGTTTTACTTCAGTGGTACCAATTTCATAACTATTGTTTTTTACTGAAAAAAATCAGATTTTAGTTATAACATAATAAAAAAATAAAAATCATAATTAACATTACCAGACATAATAACTCCTGAAATGGATCGCAGATCACTCCGTGCTTTATCAACATCAGGTATTCTAATTTTAACACTTTCGCCAATTTTGCCTTCACGAAGTCGATGTTCGGAGTCTTCATTTTTGAAGCTTGAACTTTTAAATTATGCAACGAATCTCTTCTTTTTTTAATTATTGTTTCCTGTTTTGAATGTATAATATCAGCTTGTTCTTCGTTAACATCAATATTTTCTTCAGAAGATGTATCAACAGATTTTTCAATATTAATAGAGTTCAATGCGGTTTCTAAATCTTCATCAGTCTTCAGCTTATGTATAATACTTTCTGGTAGAGAAGTAGATTTCAAGCCTATTTTAACCCGGGTACCTAACATAGCCTCATAAGGAGAACACTTAATTCCGTAGTGTAAACTTCTGTTTTTCATAAATTGAATGAATTTAAGTCCCTTGCTCCATTTATTAGTTTTATTATCTGTTAATCAGGTGGCAAGCATATTTTCTACGTCCTGGTTAGCCCTTTCAACAGAGCCTTGACTTTGTGAATGCCGTGGCTTGCCATGTACGATTTTCAGTTCTTCCCACGTACTGCATAACTCTTCAATAACCTTGTTAACAAATTCTCTACCATTATCACTCTGTAAGATGCACGGAGCTCCAAATATAGTAAAAATATCAAGTAATATATAGGCAACTTCTTCTGCACGTTTGTGTGTTAATGGTTTAAGTAAAACATACTTCGTTAGGTGATCTTGATAAACTAAAATAAATCGATTATTTTCATCAGGTTGAGCTTGCATATCAATCAAATCTACTTGACAACGAGAATTCATTTCTGAAGAAATTATTGGTTTAACAACTAGCTCTTTTTTCAGTTTTACCTTTTCTCTGACATGGTTCACATAAATTTAAATATATCATTAAACATTCCCTAGTAATGTTTTTATATTTTGCGTTCAGTTCATGTTCCATTCGGTTTATACCTCCATGTCCAGTTTGCAAATGCACGTCGTGAATTATTTTAAACAACTCTTCATTATAAACATAATATTTAATAGTATTTGGATCATTTACCGGTACAATTTATTTTTCAATATTACTTACATTCATTATATCATAACGCTTCAATAGTTTATAATCATTTGGTTTAAATTTTGCTCCATTTTTTAACCATTTGACTTCTTCTAATACTTCGCTCTATTTCACTTCACTTAAAAATACATTATTCGAATTTTTTGTACTCAAAAGAACATTAAAATTTTAATAAAATTTTAAATCAGCTATTTTAAATATTAAAAAAAAATAAAAGTATTAAGAAAATTCAAAATAATAATATGTGAAAAAAAATACAGCCGATCCGTACAATGGTGTAATTTCAACTGATTATTTTCAACTGATCTGAAATTTTATATTATATCTCCGGTCTTCAATGTTGTCGGCAAACGCTCTGATAAAATTATCATGTGGTAATAAGCTATTAATGATTATCGTTATCGTTGTAACGTTAAAGAAAAATTATACTTTATACTCGTATATCCAGACGCGGAATCGCGATAAACTTACATTGCCCACAAACAATTAAGCACTGTACACAATGCCCGGCTATTGTATTACAATGACCAAGTAATGTGCCCAAATCAAAAGCAGATTCAGTTTTGTCCAAATATGACGAAATATTGTGCACAATGCCCGGGCACTGTATTTCAATGTCTGCATTATACACTTTGACCGTAACATATATTTACATTATAATTGTTATATTATACATTATATTATATAATACATGTTATTATTTTGTTATTATTATTAGGTATACATTTTTTTTTTACATCAAATTTAATTATTGTCATTATTATAATTTTTTGTAGTAATGATTCAAAAAGTCTACCCTGGTAATACGCTTCTGAGTATATATGTTATTATTATATAATATTATCTGCGTTATTTAAATGGCACGAACTAATACATAATGCTATTAAATAAGTATGCTGTAGCGTTCTTCAACAGTAAGATTTGTTATATTTTTAGAGGGTTTTCCATTATAACACTTTTTGAACGAGTGCAATTCGACTATCCCCTAATACTGATATTTTATATTACATTGATAAGTGATATCAAAAACTTTTGATATCAAACACGATTACATCAGTAAAAATTAAAATATTTATAATTTACATTATTTGAGTTGAATAATTAATTTGCATTCTGGCATCAAAAAACTTCTCGGGGGGGGGGGGGCAAATTCCCCTGTTGTCCCCCCCACAGGTATGCTACTGGTGATAAATCAAAAATATAAGCTGTATAATTATTCACCTATAGCTTAGGCCACTTTAATGTACATAGTAAACAAAAAATAAATTTTAATTAAATAATAAATTATAACTTATGTATGTATGAATATATCTAAAATAATATGTAATAATATCTAATGTATGTAGTTATTATAAAACTTTAATAAAATCTAAATTTTCTTTTAAATCTCGCTTAAATGACTTCTGTTGATTTCTGATTTTATTGTAACACACTTTTGATGAACCGAACTTTTTTCTCGGTTCCTTAAAATTCGTTATATCGCGAGTTGACTGTATTTTGCTCACCGAGATGAACAATTAAGATTAGGTATATATGATATTGTATTTGTATTTTTTTTTTTTAAACTCACTTGATGCCTTAGGTCAGGGGTTGGCAACCTTTTGAACCACACGGGCCATATTTTTTTTTCAAATGTTTGTCAAGGGCCACATTAAAAAAAAAATTTTTACATATGATATATACTAATAATTGTATTGTTATTATATTTGATTATTTTACATAGAAATATGAGTGTAAAAATTACGAATGTTACTAGAAAAAATTTAATTTTTTGACAAATTGAACATAATGGCTTACCTTTATTTTCGACGAAGAAATATAAATCAACCCAAGAATTATTAAAAAAAACGATGTTTATTACAAATTTTTCTTTTTTTAGTCGTCATAATATTTGGATTTACTTGTAAAATGAAACTATTACAAATGCAAACAGTCACACGTACGGGCGTAATCACGGTATAATACTAATTACTACAAACGCAAAGTGATTATGACCATAGATTAAATATATGAGATACATATGTATTAAATACATAGGTTAAATAAATTTAAAATTTTAATTTTTAAATGTATATAAGTATATTTAATTTATCCTATAACTGAGTAGTGGAGCTATCATTATCTTTGACTCCAATTAGATAATAATAACTATTATAGATTAAACTGACTATATAACTAGTGTTGGGACTTATCTAGATAAATTTTTTGTCATCTTTTATCTTATCTAGATAAATAACGATAAGTTATCTAATTACTTATCTAAGATAAAATTTTTACTTATCTATATAATTTTATCTAGATAATTGTCTGTATTCTTGAAAGATTATAGTTATTTTTATTCTTATACGAAAACGAATCCAACAAATCAGAGATCATAAAATCGATCCAGCCGTTCTTGATTTATAAATTCTGTAACTAACCCTACTTTCTTTTATATATATATGTAGATTTTGTATTTATAATCATAATTCGTGTATTATTAATAAGTAATTATTTCTTGGTATGACATTTTGTTTGTATTTTCATGTCGGAAAAATATTTTTGGTATTTTTAAACTTAATTTCTTATTTTTTCCACGGAAGTTCCAAATATAGTAGGTATTTGATTTCAATAAACACATGTAACTCATACGCTGAATAGTCAATACTTCACTCTTGGAACCCGTAAAGTCGTAACTACTTATATAATAATGAAAATCATCAAATTAAGATTGTATGGAAAACAATATTGTTAACTTAAAATAATAATGATTATAATTGAGTCTTCATAGATATTATTACAAATATGAAATATTGACCAAAAAATAAAAATTGTTGAAAATATCTTTTTTTTTATCTAGATAAAAATGAAATTATTTTTTATCTTTATCTAGATATTTTAACTTTTTTTATCTATTATCTTTATCTAGATGGATTTGGACATATTATCTTTCATCTTTATCTAGATAAATTTTGCATTATCTATTTCCAACACTGTATATATCTATATAGAATAAACATCAACTATTAACGATTAGATTAGATTTTATTAATAAAAAAGAAAAGAATTGAATAGTATTGAAAATTGTATGAATAATTTTATTGAACAAAAATAAAACACAAAAATTAACCATCTTTATGCGGGTCATAAAAAATTGCTTCACGGGCCGCGGGTTGTCGATTCCTACCTTAGGTGAATAATATTACATGTTTGAAATATCAGGTACAAATGACTAAACCAACAAATATTTAGATGATCGAATCTCTTCACTTTGATCTCCGGTCATCCTGAATAAATACTTCTCGTTCATTTGTGCGCATCAATTGACATCAAATTTTATCTGCCAATTTTAAATCATTAATGAATTTTATTCATATATTTTTGAATTAAAATGTGTACGCGAAATTTGCAAAATTTAAAACTTATAATGTTGTTTAAAGATAAATAAGAAAAATAATATTAATACATGTATATGTATAACGTATCCTCTATGGGTCTGGAATTGCTGATGAGTGGTAGACTTGAATTTTAGATAAACTAATTAGATAAGGTAAAGAAATTTTAATTTAATTTTTATTAAATATATTTTTTTATTCATTAATGTTATTCATTTCTTATTCTTCTAATCTAGTATATATATTTTATGATTTTTTAAATTAAAATACTAATAGCGTTCTATAACATTAACTTTTGAACCTCGTTGTCTTTCACAAATTATTTTAAAACTTTACAAAAGGGAGAAAAAAGTACCTCAATTTACATTTGTATACTAAATTTTAAAGATACATCAATATTACGAGTAATATATTAAATTATATCAGTGGGGGATTTAATGGTCGTTTAGTTAGCGAATGCCGACGGGGACCCTTCCTAAATTGTTTACTGAGACCCAAAAAAATTATACTTAATTTTTTTTTAAATTTTACCACAAAAAAAATTATAAAACAAACTTTAATATCGTTTACAAGCAGCTTTGTAAAACAAGGCTAAGAATGTTAGTGATACGTTTATAACGAGACCCTTCTTTTGGATTTGCCGACTTCATTTGAACCTTTAAATCCGCCACTGAATTACAAATATATATAGTAATATATTTGATTTCGTGTACCTTAGTAGAATTTAAATTCAAAACAATTTAATTCTAAGACAGTGTAGAGATTTTCATTTTAATAATAGCTTATTGAGTTGAGAATTGAATTAAATATTTTCAATTTCCATTTGGATATTACAATAAGTGTATATAATAGCGGCATTCACATAGGTTATAAAGTAATTCATTGGTATTTATAGTTTAAGGGGATGACTGTGGGTGGGTGGGTGGTGGTAATATAGGTCTAGATTAACCAATGGTTTTAATTTTTTATTGGCGTTGATTATAATTTATAAATAATAGTTAAACAACTAATCGATTGTACCTTCATTTTTGTTTTCATAGTAAAGTAGTAACTACTATTAATCTACTACTACTGCTACCTATTACGGTCGACATATTTTTAACATATAATTGAATCCATATGCACGATATAATAAATAAATTACAATACTTTCGCTCAACTCAGGCATATGGACTTAATTTCGAGATTTAATCACACAAGAAAAACATTTTTATTCATATTATTTTTGTTTTCAAATGAAGCAACTTAAGTTATTTTTATATATATATAACTGTACAGTTATACATACATAAGTATATATTTTACTTTGTATATAGTTAAATTTAATGTATTCCAGTGAATCGTTTTAGTGTCAAATTATGCTGCTTCCACATTTCGAACCATATCTCCAAGTTGCGACGCGATAGATGTAATAATCATTAATAGATAACTATAATAGCTTGCTGTGTAACGGACAAGTTGTTAACATCGAATGTCTACTAGTCTCATCATTATACTTATAATATATTTGTACATCATATATACTTCAACCCATGTCTTCTGTTTCTATTATGTTTGTCTGTTAATTAATTACTGCGGCGAACGCCGCGTTCGTTCTCACGGTCTTGTAAAAACGGATTTGTTCATATATTTTTAGTGTTATCGATGCACCCGTTTTAGGATACACACACACTTGGTAATTCAGCGACGATGACGCATTTCGTTTATCAGACCTACGTAGTTATATATACGCCTTCGGTCATACATGTTAACTTTTATTATGTATACATATATTTATTATACAAGATCATAAATAAAAAC